CAAATAAATTCCGTACAATCGTCTCAATTTACAGAGTAACACTGTATATAAATCACATAGATAACAGTTTTTACGCAAAATCGTTAAGAATTTGCCAATTACTTTTATTAACTTAACGCGATTTAAAAATTATGCAATTTGTCTTACCGTCTAAATCTTTGTAATACATGAGGTGTCCCACGCAACATGAAAGTTGGTGAATACAGGGTGTCCCAATAAACATGGGAATTCAGTGACAAATTCGAAATGGTCTTTTTAAATAATTCTTTGATTTAGTATAGTGATACCTACTGAGAAAGCTGTAATCCGTTAGAGTTTCGTCTGCTCACATTTTGTTTGTTTATGTTTTGGCTGCATAAGGGTGTACTTAGTAAATCAAGAAAATTGCAGTATACAAACAGAGTAAACTTGTCCGTTTTCACTGTTCATCTTACGGAGACATTATAGACACATTTACCGTTTTCATAAAATAAACTCTAGCAGACATAATAATATTATGGCTTTAGAAATTAGGTATTACATTGCTAATTCATAACTGAATTCCCATGTTTTTTGGGATACCCTGTAGTTAAGAATGTCTCCTTCCATGATTTGTTAAGTTGTTTGATACCAAAGACAATAATACAAAAATTATATGGGAGTCATGTTATAGTAAAATTGATTTCAAATTAAAACATAGTTAAGCAAAAGAATTTTTTAACGAAATAAACTTCAAAATGCCCTTAATATCTAATACAGTATATTCATAGAAATGTATCCACCGTCATCGTGGAACACCCTATTTAATCAAAACCACAATCATATGTCTAAGTGATATCCTCAATATAGTCTGCTGACGTGTTCCTTCACATTATTATTTTCTTCATGAACAGCTTTTGACATCAACCTAGCTTTTTAATATAGTTTGTAGACATCCGGGAGTTAATTTTGGTTTCTGAAGGTGTTCATTCATGAAATAAAGTTTGAAGCAATTTTTAAATATTTAATATTTAATTCACGAACCCTGAGCTCTAATGGTTTGTACCAAACCTCTAATCTCTCTCTCTCTCTCTCTCCCTGACGTGTTTTTCCTAGAAAGACATATTTACAAATTCACGAGAAGAAAATATAAATAAAAAATGTTTTTACCATCCGAGTGGTTTCTACAAACTATAAATATAAGCTTTTCAAAAGAAAAAAGGGGGGTGCTCCTATACATTTGTATAGGAGCACAGACAGAGAAAAAATTGCTTCGTACATAAACACAAAACTACTCGATAACAATATGCATATTATTTCTCGAGAATTAAAAGAAAACTACTCGATAATTAGAAGAAAACCACTCGAGAATTAAAAGAAAACTACTCGATAATTAGAAGAAAACTGCTCGATTATTAGAAGAAAACTGCTCGATTATTAGAAGAATACTAGTCGATAATTAGAAGAATACTAGTCGATTATTAGAAGAAAACTACTCGATAATTAGAAGAATACTAGTCGATAATTAGAAGAATACTAGTCGATTATTAGAAGAAAACTATTCGATTATTAGAGGAAAACTACCCGATTATTGGAAGAATACTAGTAGATAATTAGAAGAAAACTACTCGATAATTAGAAGAAAACTACTCGATAATTAGAAGAAAACGACTCGATAATTAGAAGAAAACGACTCGATAATTAGAAGAAAACTACTCGATAATTAGAATTGGTCTATATACAAGGAGTACAGAATTCTGATTAGGATTGAGATGGAGGGGTGGTTTAGACTTTTTAATCAGAGGGGGGGGGAGGTGTTATTGTTACAATCTGACATTCATGTATCTGGTGAATCTGGCCGTGAAACTTTAATATGAAGTAAACATCTAGAAAAAGTTTGGTGAAAGCGGGTAAAATTGGGAGTAACTGACGTGTGACCGGTTAATTAATGTTACGTTGGGCAGGACCGTATCCGTGACATCAGCCTTCAATTGGATTAATAACAGTTAACATCATTATCTTGGAATAAATATTTAGTTAACATTTTGTTTAATTATAGAACTTTCTGTAGCATTCAACGACCTATTTATATATATATATATATATATATGACAATGTGTTTATACATTTAACGCAAGAAAAATAAACAATGTTTTTTTTGGCAAACTCTGATTTTCTTATAATGTCTTACTCCTAGACCATTAGATATTTGCAACTCTATTCGTTCGGACAAAATAATTAAAGTTTAAAATATCAAAGGTTTAAACCATCAGGTTGCAAGGATATATAGGGGATTAGAAACTTTGAACTTGTGACAAAATTCAATTACATTGCATGAATATTATAGCTAAGTTTTAACATTCTTTTGCATTTAAATATGAGCTTTCTATGCTTTTTATATTTTTTATATAAAAACATTTTTTCATCTTGTTAAAACTTTGTTCTCTCAAAAAATCATATTTTAAAAAATGCATTTTTGAAACTACTTTGATCTAGCCAGGCTAAAATTGTAACGTGCTGAGACGACTCTTCACTTGGTAGTCCAGGCTGGACAGTACAAGTGAATGCATACAAAGTACATATTGTACCGGCTCCGATCATGCAACTTTTAGGGACCGGGGTTTTAGATGTTTTAATCAGTATATTTAGGGACCGGGGTTTTAGATGTTTTAATCAGTATATTAAATATTATAACAAAATTTTCTATTTCAAACAATAAATTCTAAAAATTACTATTTTTAGAAAATAAATTATACGAAATGTTCTGTAAATATATCTTTATATATTTAGATTGAGTGATACGCATTAAATAAAATTGCTCACTCTAAACATAGAAATTGCAGTTCATCAATAGAAAAATAATTCTTAGAAAATGATTTTATATCTGTTGCATTTAAAGGTTTTTAGAAAATTTAAAAAAAAGAATAAATCTTTAACTTTGCTATATTATAGACACCAGGGGGGGGATGGGGGGGGGGGATTTCCGTTTTTTAACGATAGTTTTAATAAGGGCTAATGATGAAAAAAATAATCAAATTACAAATTTTATAGAGATTCGAACGTTTATATCAATGCTTTTGATTGATATACATAATTCGAAAAACTCTTCACTCATATAAATATATTTATATATATATATATATATATATATGCACTAAAATGAAAAAAAAACTTTAAAATGTTCGATTCACAACGGTGCCCTTTAAATGTGATGCCTGGTCGAGGTCTTATCACTTTTTATGTTAAGATGATATAAATATTATCATTTTTCTCCCGGAAAATGGATTATCTTCAATTGTGCGGGTTCTCAATGAAAGTGTCTTGCGGATTTTAGACAGTGAGGGAAATGGTCAGAATTTAACACTTTTCAAGATAGAAAACGACGATATCTTCTTTGTTTTTTCTTAGAATTAGAATTGGTCTCATTGTCAATCCAACATTTTACTTAATAAATGGAATGTCACTCAAAGGTTCGTCTGCATGGTCCCTTAGAAATAAAAGAACTTTAAGTAATGATTCTATTACTCTTATTACCACGGTTTATTAGACGGTACAATCAATGTAATTGTTTATTATGGTCTGCTGCCCTGATCACAGTTATATTTACCAAATTGGCTAACATTTTTTTGAGGTAACCCATGGGACCATTGGTATTAATGGGGTAACATAGGCTAAAAATTTTATTTTTAAAGATTCGGATTTTTTATTTCACGGGCAACGCCGGGCACTTCAGCTAGTATATCATAGTTGCATAAATGAAAAATTGTGGCGTTGCACGGAAATTTTTATTGTTTTTTTTCTTTAAAAATTTAATGAATGGAGCTAGTTTTTCGGCACGAAGGAAATGAGTCTTTGCAACAAAATCTTATTTTCTAATTTTTATATCTTCTCAACCAAGTGGTGTACAGACCTCAGATATTTCAAACTTTAAATTGTGTTAGGTCAAATAATCTAAGTTTGAAATATTAAAGGTTTATGCCATCAGGTTTCAAAGAAATAGGGATTAGCAAATTTGAGTTTGTGCCAAAGGTATTGAGTCTTTGAGGAATCCGTTTTCCTCCTCTACCGAAGTTCTACAATTAAGCCTCAATAGTTTGTTTTTTTAAATCTTCCTGACAGAAACAATCTCAAGAACTGACGAGGGTCAACCCAGACCGAAATTTATTTTCAATAAATGTGGAACTTTTTTTACTCACCATCACCGAATTTTATATATATATATATATATACTTTGCTTGTCTGTTTGGGTGTCTGTGAGTCTGTATCCAATAAACGTCAAAACGGCTGAACCTATCAGGCCCAAATTTTTTGTGGGACCTCACATGACCCGAGAGAAGGTTAATGGATGATCGAATTTTCAAAAATTTGCCTCTAACAAAATTCGATTTTTGAACATTTAGAAAATCCAAGATTTTTTTTATAAATTCTGTGAAATTTTGTTTGTTTTTGTTCCACAAAAAAAGAATTTTCACAATTTGAATAGAAGATGGCCGCGAAACGCCCGGAAAGCATAGTCTAATATTTATTTTTATCTTTTTTTGATGCTAGATTGAAGGAAATTATATTTTTTCATCAATGCTCTAAATTTCCTTGTATATTGGATCCATTTTTCTAGTTCGAGAAACAAATTGTGAAGAAAAATATTTTTAGAAATTAATTTCTACAAAATAATCTATATATATCTTGATATATTTAGAATTGGTTACTCTTACAGTTTATAAATAAACACGTCGTAGAAATTGATTTATTTTAGTAACATGGTATTATTGAGATAATCTGTACTTCCACTTATTTTTCCGGGGTTCATCATAGGGACATATGGACATATTCTTGCCAAGATTCATCATCAAGAATACAGCTCAGTCCTACAGAGGTTTATCGGGACTACGGCTTATTACTGCCAAGGAAAGTTGGGACTACGTCTCATGTTTGCCAAGTTTTATTGGATCTCTATGGTTTTTAAAAGATTTTGCCAAGGTTTTTTCCAAAGGTTTATTGGGATTATCGCTCATTCGGCATTCCCAACAAAGGTTATTGGGACTATGGCTCAGTCCTACTCCAATACAAGGTTTACTGCCAATGTTGATATGGATTACGGTTTTTTTGTGATTTAACATTATACGTTACACACAGATTGTCATAACAATTTTCTTTTTCCTGTATTTTTCTAACAAATATTGTTTGTTTAGGGAGACCACTATGAAGACCCTTCACTACTACTCAACAATCATAGTAAGAATTATTTACATGTTTGTAAAATGTTTGTAAATTTTTGTACTCTTCCTCTAAGTTTCTGTAATAGAATATATTTCCATTTACTGATAGCACCGATTGAAGGATTCATAACTCTAATTGGATAATGAGATAGATATTAAGAGATGTTACCGTCTTACTATTTCTATTGGATCAGAATAGACAACAAACACTTGACTGAACCCTGATCATGGATCAGGCGCTAATGGACTCGGCATACAGAATAGACAACAAACACTTGACTGAACCCTGATCATGGATCAGGCGCTAATGGACTCGGCATACAGGTGTGAGCCGATTTGTCGATTCAGATAAAATGCGTGAAACAAAATTGCCCAGAACTTTTTTTTTACATAATTGATTAATTGATTAAAATCTAGTGGAGCGCGAAAAATGAAAAATATTTCTAAAAGCATGTTATCATGTGTTCATTTTGTATTTGAATTTAATTTAGTTTTGTACTTTAATTCAACAATCTTTAAACATATATATATATATATATATAGACTATAAGCGTAATTTCAAGAGACCCCCTATACAAAGATGGCAATGGTACCCTTGAAACCTTAATTTGATCAGAAATGGTGAAGATGTATTCGTTTTTTCTGTCTCAAAATATTTGTCTATACTTTGTATGGAGGGTAAGATTACGCTTACATCTTTACAGTCTTATATTTGCACACTTTTACATAGAAAGGAGAAAATCTAAAAAATTATATTTAATTGGTTAAATTGTAATCACATCTTGCTGAACTATTAAATCTGCGAGGAAGTAAGATCAGTATAAATAGATTCTTACAACAATCTTTTCTCATCAAAATAAATCATATTTCGTGACAAAACTGAAGAAAAAATAAATAAAAAGGCTCTCAATAAATTTATAACAATCATCTTACGATACATGAGATCACATTTTTTGTTAAATACATAGATTTTGATCCAAAATGATTTTTAACTTTAAAAAAAAAAACTTTCTGATTCTAAAAACTGATAACTTGATAGGTTTTCACTGGGGAATTTAAAATGTGATTAAATTTTAAATGAAGCACTTAAATGTTGGGATGATCAAGGGAAAAAATTTATTTGTAAACCAAATATTCAAATAAAACCGTTTAAATACAAAATGTAATGAATACTCGCCACAAACTCTAATTTGCTAATCTCAAAATCTTTGCAACCTGGTGGCAAAAACCTTTGATATTATAAACGTTGACGGTTTTATCCTAGAAAATATCTTAGGTCACCGACATTAAATTGCAAAGATGTAAGTATTAGAAAACTAGAGTTTGTGGTAAGTTTTTTTTTGCAATCTTAATTGGAAAGACAAGAAAAATTAAATAAATGTTGCAATACTTTCTGTTGGATATAATATTACGAAAAAATAATAATATATGTTTCGCCCTGATGCACATTAATATCAAAATAATGTCACAATTACAGAGGAAACCCGTGAACGGTATTGAAGGAACTATAAGCATAATTTCATGTGACCTCCTATGCAAAGATGGCAGTTCCCGATTTACAACGGTACCCTTGAAAGATTTGTAAATAAGATATTAATGTTTTTGGTTTTTAAACTGTAAAACTGCGAAACTGCGACTTGTCCATTTATTGTTTATAAACAAGCAATGGAGAACTCACAGAAATTAACTCTTTTCGAGTCAGAAAAAACAACATAAATCTTCCATGATCTTTGATCAAATTAAAGTTTCAAGAATACCACGTTGTAAATCGGGCATTTCCATCTATAGATATGGATGTATGGGGTTACTTGAAATTTCGTTTACAGTCCCTTTATATAATAAATATCAACCAGAATGATACAATCCTAAAATCCGATCTTAAAGGGACTGTCACCGAATTGTCAAGTGCCTCTTTATTCGAAGGGTTTTGTGTCAGGGGTACCCTTTAAAAGTTGTCCGTTCAAAAATCAAGTTTCATTGTTTCACTCTAATCTAGAAAAATGCATTTCCTTTTAAGTAACGTGTATTTAGGCCGCAAAAACCAAAGGAAATTGTAAATTTGACTAAATCTCTTTTAATTAGATCGAAAAACCACGACATTTTCCCCGCTCCTCCTCTTTGGGCAATCGATTTAGGAGTTATATCTATCCCCCCTCCGCAAACCTACGTCCCATGCCTCCTCTTTGTTCATCGTCAGAGGTAGCGGTTAAAGTCTGTTATGTACACTTGCCGCGTTGAATGCAAGAATTAAAGAGATAAGTAAATATTTACAGGGTCAGGACTTTCTGGGCCGCGTGTTGCGGCTAGGACAGGCTAGGGGGACGATCGTGCCGCGGCTAATACTGACTCTCTCTCTCTGACTTATAATTCATTGCGGCATGCGCACATAACTGATTTCGGCCGCTGTCCACCATCTACTACCTGCCCAAGGAGTATACAAAAGAAGGGAGATACAACTGCACGCGGCCCGGCCTACCATATGATTATGATTATTGTATACGCGGTAATTGTACATAAGACAAATATTTCTTATTCTAATGAAGTACCTTCTGCAAAGCATGTCTAATCATACGGTAGGGCGGGCCGCGTCAGTTGTGTCTCCCTTCTATTTCATACTCCTTGTACCTATGCGTGCCCTTAAGCTACAAAATACGCGGGAACAATAGAACTATTGTGTGTAGTGTAGACCGTGTGACCTTGTCCTGATGCTCTGATTGGGTAAACTTATTGGCTTGCTGAATCGTCATTGGTCGGATCTAGATTTAGATTGTAATATAGTTTTATATTCACATTATAGTTCATTTTAATTACGCTAGGTATCTCTCATTTGTTTAAACGTTTCGATCTCTCTCTCTCTGAATAAAATCTGAATACCATAAATATATCTATGCTGAACACTCTATCGTTTTCTAGCATAAACTAAAATAATAAGACTCAACAACCTTAGTAAAATCTTTAGTCAAGAGTATGTTCAAGGTTTTTTTATTTTATACTAATTGAGTTTTCCTCCTTCATTGATTCTTCTTCTGGGGTTTACGTATATATATACAGTTGGGTTTATTTGGAGAACTACCGTCCCGTGGAGGAAAGTTCTTGTAGATTCTGGACCCGTAAATACCGTAGTATACCAAGACCGAGTAATTAAAGTTTAGTTATAACATTGCTGTGATGTCCCTAAATTTAAATTATTATTTGCAAAAAAATTATTACCTCCCCCTCCTTAGGCCTGCATCGTATACTGCAATTTACACCCCCCGTCTTACTAAGAAAAGTGCAATTTACATAGTACTATATAGATTTAAAATCCCCGCATTATTCCATCGTATGCTTATTTGCAATAAAATATGTGCTTTAACTCCACTCCCCTTCTTGCATAGGAGTTCAATATAATACCTCTCCATCCCATTGTTGCGAAGAAAAAGTATAGAATAACTGAATAATTTTTATCCCGATCCTGAAAATATTAAAGGTATTCTTTTTTCTCAAACCTTGAAAGGTAATCTTATCTTTTTGATCCCTGAAAAAAAAATATTGAATAGATTTTAATCCATTTTAAAACCCAATTTTAAGGAGCCAGGAGATGTTCACTCCCTAATTGCGCCCCACATTTTTTAATTGGGACGTCCCCCTATTTTTCAGGAGGGGGGGGGGGAGATTTCCCCTTTTCTGTCCTGTATTTAAAATATTGCTTTATTTACAAGTTGTACACAAGTTGGCATCATTTGGGACTTATTTTTCACAAGATAATTTTCCGTTTTTACTGGTTTTTAAAGTGAAGTGATTTTTTTAAAACGATGGTTTTGAATTTTCAGAGCCAACACAATTTAAAAAATCGTTTTTGAAAAACCCTAAACGAAAAAAAACCTGAAAAATAGATTTTTTTTGCTTTAAAACGAAAATCTGAAAAAAATCTTTTTCCCGTTTTCAAAACAAAAAACTGAAATAATCGTGTTCCGTTTAAAAACAAAAATACTAAAAAAAAAGTTTTTGTTTACAATTGTTGCTTGAATTAGAATTAAATCTCTCTAGTTGCATATATACCTGCAATCAAATTTCTAGAGCTGCATATACGTGAATATATATATATATATATAACATATTGATAATACTCGCTGTACGACACCAAGGTGTAATATTTTAAATTTTACTTTTGCCACAAACTCAAATTTTGTAATTCCATATATGTTTGCAACTTGTTGCAAAGTTCAAAAATTTGATATTGAAAACTTAGATTATTTGATCTACTACAAAAATCATTATGTTTGAAATATCTAAGGTCTATAACGACCTTGGGTTGCAAAAAAATAAGAAAACCATAATTTTAATCAATATGTAAGTTGGCATAATAACAATGGTATTCCATCTTTTTTGGTGTAACTTGAAAAGACTGAAATTATGGAATTGTGAAGGGGAGGGGGGGGTGGGGGGTGCAGTCTATGAATTTAAGGGTGAGGTTTAGAACATCAGAATTAAAGAATTTCTGCGTTGACACTATTAAAGTTTCATTTTTTGTGGGCTTAACCCTGTCTCTAGTTTGTCAGAGTCAAAAGTTTGCATAATTGATCACGAAAGGAATATATTCAGAAGAACATTTTTAATTAAGTGAAATCTCTGAAAGCCAAATATCCNTGTCACAAACTTAAATTTTCTAATCTTTGAAATCTGATAATAACAAAGATATTCGAAATCTTTTATGGTGTAATTGAAAAGACTGAAATTATGGAATTGTGAGGGGGAGGGGGAGGTGGGGGGTTCAGGCTATGAATTTAACGTTGAGGTTCAGAACATTAGAATAAAAGAATTTCTGGTTAACACTATAAAAAAGTTTCATGTTTTGTGGGAAACCAGCTGTTTCTAGTTTGTCAGAGTCTTAAAGTTTGCATAATTTCACGAAAGGAATATATTCAGAAGAAAATTTTAGATTAAGTTTAAATTCATTATTGACAAACACAGCATAATATATATTTTGAACTCCACTCCACTATTTTGCGTTCTAACCCTGATTGTGATGTATCC